GGAAGGTGGGGGTGGGAGGTGAGGGAGGGTCTCGGTTTATAGGGGGATGTGGGCCCCGTCCTGTGGGACACAGGTAAAGGTGCGTGAGTACAGTTCAACTTTCAGAGGAGGACTCTGGATACAGTGTGAAGGATGGGCTGGACCACAGGTTTGGCCCAGCAGAGAGGCCCGCTGAGGGGATGCTCAGGGTGCGGACAGCCTTGTCTTGTTCCCTCCTGCATCCCCTGGGCCTCGAACAGGGCTGGGCATGTGGAGGCAGGATGATAATATCTGCTGAATGGCTTCTCTCTGGAGGAGAGGTCACGAGAACTTGAATGAGGGCCATGAGAATTGACGGCAGGGAACAGCTGTGAGAGGCACTGGGCCATGTGGTGGACAGAAGTCACAAACAGGATGGATGGGCACGGGAGGGGACAGAAGTGCCCGAAGTTGGAAGCCTGGGGGAGGGCGATATCCTGAACAGGAACCGGAAATCCCCAGAGAGGGATTTAGAAGGGAGGATGGTGCGCATGGTTTTGGACAGTGGCCTTACGAACCAGTTTGTAGACCCACTGATGGAAGGAGGAAAAAGATTAGAAGTCTCCTCTCAAGGCACGTTTAGCCACGCTGAATTTACGAATTAGAAACTGTACCATGTCCTGTAAACAAAGGTCTTGGGGTTTCGCTCTGTGGTGACCACTGGGATTTGGAGATTTTCTTGTGGCCACCAGAGGGAGCCCACAATATTCATTAAATGCTATAGAAATCGAGTAGGAATTTTTAAAAGGATAATTAATATTTTTTTAAAATGTACTCTCAAGTACACGAAAGTTCAAACCAAGGGCAGTGAAATACAAAGTTAACCTTTCACACTGGTGTTTTTTTTCCCGACTAAAATGGAAGATCCCTGAGAATTTTCCAGATGACTCCAGAATCAGGTGGTGTGTTGTTGGTTTCAGGTCATGACGATTATGTGAAGGGTGAAAAAGTCGTTAGCAAGCACATTCCTAGAGCAGGTGTCCCACTCACCCAGCGTCGCGTGGGTGTCTCTGGGTTAGTCTCAATGGAGAATCCCTGAAGCTGTGGGAAGATAAGACACGAAGGGCCTTGATCTCAGCCTGGCCAGCCCTGTGCCAGCTACGGGATGACAGGTGCGACTTTTCCCCCCGTGAGGTGTCGTGTAACTGTACACCGCGACTACTGAGTGTCCCACCTCTCAAGAGCTGCTCACGTGGGGGCCTGCCTCTTCCCGGGGGTGGGTTCAGTGCAGTCACAGTATCCGGCTTCTTAGCTCACTTCTCACGCCAAAGTGTATTCCACGTGGACGGAACACACAAATGTGAAACATAAAACCGTGGAAGGCAAGACAGAAATACAGCAGGTCATGTTTTAACATTATGAGGTGGAAATCGACTTTATAAGCCTGGCACCGAAGTCAGAAGCCATAAAGCAGCAGTTCTCACCCTGGGGTGATCTTGTCGTCTGGGGACGTTTGGCAAAATGATTAGAGACATTTTTGATTTGTCTCCGCTTGGGGGGTGGGGTGCTACTGGCATCTGGTGGGTAGAGGACAAGGATGCTGCTGACCAGGCCACAGGGACAGGCCAGCCCCCACGACAAAGAA